CATAACTCTCTCTCTCTCTCTCTCTCTCTCTCTCTCTCTCTCTCTCTCTAACGATTAATCTTAGCGTTCGTTGCACCTAAACGTCGGGAGTCACTATCTCCTAAGCGGGTGTCACTCGGATTGTGATTAATAATAACGCGTTAGATGGACGCTCCTCAAAAATGTCCCGCCGGTCGCACCATTAGAGACGGATTCTGACGACGCGATCAGCGGTCATTGCGCCGCGTTTATCGGTTACGGTCGGGGCCATGGACCTAGGAATGTCAGGATGGAGCACAAAGTACTCCTGTGGACGTGGGATATGTAAAGCTTCAGGAATTGAGGGGAAATATCCGTTGCGGTTATCTTAGTTGATCAAACTTGATACATACAGAGTGCCTAGCATACAAAATCACGTGTGAAAGTAGAGCAGGTCGACCTGAGCAGGAGGACCCTTGGCATTATGCAAACAATCGTGTGAAATTTCGAGATATTAATGGAAAAAGACTGATGAACCAGACGCGACGTTGTGGAATGGACTCTATGAGCGCAAGATCTCTCATTGAGAGTAGCTGGAGCTGTCTGATAGATGCTCTACCTTTACATGTATATTTTGTTTCAGATACACTGTATATAACAACACGATATATGTAGACTCAGATACGTTTTCACGTCGTGCGCAGTCGCGCGGCGTGATTCTAATTCGAGGCATTGTTGCGTTTCGAGGTTATGTATTCTGTAAACAAAAATAATGTCTGCAGTAAAGTGCTTCATTTTCCGCTACAATACGCCTGACCGTTACGCAGAAAGCTGCAGAAGTGGAATATCCGCAAAACAAACAAATAAGATTCAATTAGAATGGAAACAATCCTACGCCGCTACCATCTTAGCTCGTTATATCTATTACAGTCCGCTTTTCTGTGGAAGTTCAACTCCGCGGAGATATACTCTGTCTAGATATTCCTACGATCATGGTCGGGGCCGAAGTCTTGCACGAACTCGTACGTGGATCTTGCTTTATAAGCGTAAAACGGAATAGTTGGGCGCTTGTTACTGACAATAAGTATCCACTTAGTTGGTGAGAAATCATTCTGCCTGGCAAGGGATAGTCTATACTACAATAAACACAATATTTCAAGATTTATTATTTTCAGGTCCGTCATTTTGCATCTGCCATTTTGAATTTTGCGAAACTGACTAAATATTGGAAATCAGCAGTTCAAAAACTGCAAATAAACCTAACTGTCTTTCTTCGCAAGAAAAATTGAACTATTTTAGTACTGATCCTGGAAAATAATGCAAGCGCAGGGTGGTTAAAAAAAAGATATAACCATTTAAGACTCTGCTATTTCTCGGGTGGCCATATTGGTTTGATGACGTCAGAAGCGAGAAATGTCAAACCGAAAGTTCCTAACGTTTTATTGCTTTATTTTTTACTTTTCTCTGAAGAACCAAATATTTTCCTAATCTCGAAACCTGTAAAAAGTACAGCAAACTCAGATATCTGGCTGATATATCACGTAGCATCGTAAAATAATTCTTGAAATAATACTACATTTTTCGGTTGTCACAGTGATTTGTGACAGCTGAGATATCAGCATGTATGAATTTCTCGATTTTCACAATGTATCACCAGTATCACAAAGTTTGCTGCACATTTTACGGCTGTGAGGATCACGATAATATCACACACTTTGCAGAGAAACTGAAAAATAACGCGATAAGACGCAAGAAACTTTCCGAGATGTCAAGCGCAGGGCCTAGCGTGAGCTTGGCCCAGTATCAGCCAATCAGCTACGTTGACACAGTTATTTCGTGTTCTCGACACTGCTAGGCGCCACCGCCAATTCAGACTTTCTGCGGCAAGATAGCAGAACCTTAAAAGTGTCAAGTGCTGCAAGGCGTAGATACATTAGAAGTATAGATACATTCGTGTGAAAAACTAATCAAGAATAAACAATAGAGAAATTTTGACATACTTTGGTAAGAAAGAATTGACTTCTGATCGGAGCGACGCTTACCGTCCGTCGTGGAGTCTGACAGATTCCCGCCGACGCTGGTCGCACCGCCGCTCTCTCGATCGCTGGATCCGCGGACGCCGCTGTCGGCGCTGCAGCTGCCGCGATCACCGGCTTGGCCGCCGGAGGATCCCGCACCTGCACCGCCGCCCACGTTACCCACGGATACGCCGAGCTCGGTGGTGCCCAGTGGTGGCTGCGAATTCACATGAGGGATGAGGGCGCAACCGCCACTGCCGCCGCCGCTGCCGCCTCCACCGCCGCCTCCACCGCCGCCGCCGCCGCCTCCACTGCTGCTGCCGGCTCCGGGTGTCGCAGCGCCGTTCACGCTGCCGCGCGGGAAGGACACCAAGGACTCCTGATCACTCAGGCAGATCCCGCCGCCTCCGCCGCGCTCCGCCAGCTGACGTTGAAGCTGCAAGTAGATACAGAACGATCCTGAACGCGGACGAACTCGGTGATTGTGATGGACTAAGTAACACAGTTTCACGGTGAACGTCATCGTCGCACTAGGAATTTATGACGGCGATGATGACGGTAAGACAAACCGGTCCAGAAGTCATAAGGGTCATTTTGTCACAAAACTGATATTTACGTAATAAATGAAGGAGCGTATTCTTCTCTATAATACAGGTTGTATTTGTATCATGTTAGTTGAATAACAAAATAGCTTATAATATAGAAATATCACATGTGGTATTTACAAGCACTTTTCCAAAATTGGACGCAGTGAGTAAGTGTTTTCTTGTCCCTATTTTTATTAATTCGTTAGTGTGAGATTTCTGGTCGCAATCTCTCCTTAGTTGTGTAAGAAATGCTGTGAGTTCAGCTAATTTTTCTTGCATTTAGTTAACCGAAATCTTGATCATGTATAATATATTTAAAAATAAAATAGATGTTGTATAGTATTGTATATATGTATTTTTTATTTTTAAATATATTATACATAATTAAGATTTCTGTACCGTCAAATTTCTAATCACGAACCAAAAAGAGATTCGGGAGTATAACTAATAATTTATAATAATATAATAATTTATAATAATTTTAATAAAATCCTTATTATATAATAGATTAATGCTGCGAAAACTTAAGACTATTAATGATTTTATTTGCCTCTTGACTGAAAAAATGGTCTATTTTCATGTAGTCAAATAATTTTATACTCTTTTTGACAAATTAGAAATATATTATAATTTCTTCCTAAAAATTCTTAAAGCACAAGTATTAATAGAAAAATCTTGAAGTACTAATTTCTTAAATTTACTTACAGAAAAGTTGCAAATTTTTACGTTTAAATAAACTTACGTTTTCATCGCGTTTGTCTTTATATTTGCAACAGAATAAAATAAGTAAATACTTGCGATCTCTATATGTAATTTTATTCTACAGACTTGAAAGTGTATATTTGTAATTTTTCATAGATTTTTATTAGCATTTTTATAGAATGTAAATGAGCGAGAGCGAAAACAACCCTAACGTGCCAGGTACAGATGTCCAAAATGTGTGTGCAATGTGAGGGTTAATAAATAAACTACGAAAATCCGATGAATCGTTCGTTGAAAATTCGTAAGCCCCTAATAAATTCATAATTCTGGCGATTCAGGAAGGAATTTCGCACAATCGTCGATTTTGGCAAATTCCTCGAACTCGAGGCCGTGCCTCGAACCCCGGCTCCGACTCTAAACTCGTTAATCCAGTTCATGATTATGCGTGCGCACTCGGCGAGTAGAACTCACCTCTTTTATGGTTGCGTGCGCGTGCGAGAGGGCGGCTTCTTTGTCCGCTAAACTAGCCGCAAGGCTCAGGCTTCGATCGGCCTCGTCCCTTGCCGCCCTTAGTAGACTCCAGCGTTCCCTCTCCCGTTCTCTTTCGCGTTCCTCCGATGGCATGCCGGCTCCTTGCTGCTGAAGACGTCCCAGGGTCGCCTCGTTCTCCCGCATCCGCTGCAATCAACGGTCAAAGAGACCCACGTCCGGGCAGTAACTCCGCCCCAGAACCTTCACCATCTACCGTTGCATGCACGAGACTCGAAAATACGCGATGAGCACAGCGAACAAGTGGTACAAGATTTCCTCGAGAATGACGAGCGAATAACAAGTCGAGCCGCGAAAATTTGCTTTCGTTGCTCGCAAAAGAAAAGAAAGGGAGAGAGGGCGAGAGAAAGAAAGAAAGAGAGGAAGGAAGAAGACTCTATCGCTTTACCCGTAACAGGTACAGCCTTTTTAGTCAAGCTACAGGTACAGTGGGGTCCGCCGGCAATAAATTTTTGCTATTTTTAACATGATAATAAAAGAAAGAAAAATGCTTTATAGTTTGAAAATAATACTTTATGAATATTATATTACAATTAGACATATAATAACAGTCTCAATTTTTCAGTAATCTAAAAGAAAACGTTAACTGATTATAAAATAAACACAATGTGGACAGTGTTGAAATAAAATACATTGAAAAACAAATAATCGAAAAAAGAAAAAAATTTATATTTTAATCTTAGTCCACAAATTATAAATTATATAAAAAATATAAACAAGTATGGTTAAATTAAATACAATATTAAAATCTTAGAAGATTTTTTTAGATGCAATTGTTACAGATAGTGCTTGCATATTTGGTGCATATTTGTTCATTGCATCTAACATATACTTTTTTGGACTTCATATCTCTATTTCTAGGACATTTATTACATCTTACTCTGATGGAAAAATAATTTTAAATCTTTCAGTTTCTTCAATTTTTAACATAGATGAAATTATTAAATGCAATGATTTATGAATAAATTGAGTTGTAAGACGTCTCTTAAGTTCAGGTTCTACTAACTGAAAGGCAAGAGCTTTTACTCTTTTGCATGAAGAATAAATCATATTGAGCTGAAGATTAAGAAAATTATTTTCATAAAAGTAACGTTAATAGCACAATGGGGTCACCAGACGAAAAACAAATGCATATAATTCACAGCTGCTTACAAATAACTCGATGATCTTTTCTTCTGTCACACTGGAAACTGTTACTCGGAAAGTAGATATTAGCGCCATACAGTGGACAGTTTAGGAATGATCACAAAAGTAAAATTAGTTGGGGTCCCTGGGACCCCATTGTATCGGTTACGGGTTAAGCGTCACAATGAAGCCATAAATCAACGATATAAAACATTTACGGTTATTATGGGTTAATAATGAATTAAAAGCTCGACGAATTGCGCGTAGAGACGCGCGTATTATGATCGATATTCCGCGAAACAACTTCAGCCGTGCTGGCGGGCGAACTCATCCCGTGGAACAGCCCGGCGAACAAACTAATATAACGCCGCCGGTAGCAAATAGCCGCTGGAAATCAAATCGGATTCGAAAACAAATATCCGGCTGATATATTCGCGAAAATGTCACTCGCGGACGTTTTGCGAAACTGTTTCGCGGCGCGACACGTTATCTCGAGCCCCGTCGCCGCGGGTGGAAAAGCGAAGAGAGAGAGGGCGAGAGGGCACTCGAGACGCGAGACCGGATCTTTGACAGGCGTGACACAGCCGGACGCCCTCAGTGATTGACGCACTCGATCGATTATTCCGTCTCGCGCTGTAAGCATAATTAATACTCGCCAGCGATGTAACGTAACGCGCGCGCGCACGCGCACACACGGCTAAGTGGAGTAATTGAGACCGTTCGGATGAATGTGGCGGAAATATGATTTCCCACTGATAAATACTTCGCATATGTGTGCCACGAGATAATAATACATGTTAAAATCTCATACAAAATTATCCCCGATTCTCTGTCACGCATCTCGCCACCTGATATCTCTCGGTCTGAATTTAAGGTAGTTGTAGTATGAAACAAGTTTCGTGAATATTTATTGAAACGTATATACTGAAGTGTTGTCTAACTGCTCGCGCAATCAAATTATGTTTGATTATTCGAGAATTGAGATATTTACGACTAAGGCTGACACTCTTTATATGTTTTTTTGAAAGATAGGTGTGTTATTTTTAATTTACCCGTTTTAATATCTTCCAAACGAAGACTCTAATGAAAGATTTTGATGATAAATTTATGATTAAATGAGAAACTCATGCGAGACTTTGATGATAAACTACAATATTAAAGACTATTAATCTTTAATATCATATATTAAAATATTAATCTAATATTATACAGATATTATTTTAGAATTATTCTCTATTTTATTTTGAAGATACAGCAGTTATCTCGAAATAGTAAAAAAGTCATAATTTATAGTAATATCATACAGACATTATTTTAAAATTATTGTCTATTTTATTTTGAAGATACAGCAATGAAAAACTTATAATTTATAATAATATTCGAAATACACATACATACACGGAGAAAATTTTATAATAAAAATTATTATAGAATAGGTCGACATATTGTAATAATTGACTGTCCTTTTATTTCATGTATGCTATTTATATTTTAGAAGCTGAAATGTACTATTAAAAAAATTGCTATGTTTTTAGTGAAATTTATTATGTTTCTAGATATAGATCTTATTGAGAGTCTCTATTCCTGCACTATACAAGAATTTATATGAAACGAAATTGTAATATTTTCTCTATGCATATACATATTCAAACATTTATATATATATATTTTTTTTTTATTTATTTGCATCAATTAGATCGATGATGATGCAATAAAGTACTAATAAAAAAAATAAGAAATAATATTTTCTTATTTGTAATATTGTGTATATATGCTTATCTCAACTTTGTTTCCAGTTAACATTTATTACTTAGATAATGAGAAGTAAATGTAGAATAAATTAAACGTATAGTACATAAAACGTAATTCTGTATGATAAATAGTCAATTTGTGAATGGCCCGTTTGACACGTAACTCAAAACACGACGCCTGGCGATACACAACTGCCTTAAAAACACACTCTGCAAATTTCTCCTCGTTGCCGGCAAGATCTTCCAGTAATAATCAAGATAAAAGAAGCAAAGCACGGGGATTTGGCGAAAAAGTAAATTACGGGATTACGTCAATCTGTGCGTTCCGGAAGCGTGCTACGCGATTAAGCGACGGGATAATTCGATTTTTCGCGCGCGATTATGTTCCGGCAGCGAGGCAGACGTGACGTTTACTATCGACTATTAGCCACTCCGTCGACGATATCGACTACGGCAAAGTTAATCCACTTATCTTTCTCTCGAGCGCGCAAGTAACTCTGTCGTACGTATAACAGGTGTTGCAGCGGCAGGTTTATCGGTTAAACTTCGCGGCAACGCGGTTATTACACAGCCGGCGCGGATCAGTCGGCCGGGCGTCGGCTGTTAGCACGTCATAGTTTCGCCGTCAAAAACTATATCGCGCAGAATATCCTAAAGGAGAAGAGGTGCCGACAAGTTCTTCGTTATGCGGTATAATTGCGTCGCTGAAAGTTCCAGCGAACGTCACTCGTGCAAAAAGCGTTCGACAAAGTTCCTCGCGATTGCGAAAATTCTCTTCCTCTGTCGTGTGCCGACATGTTGTGAGTATAAATATTGTAAGTGTTCAAGAAAAAGGATTCAAGACTTACAAGATAGATATTATCCATTATACTGAGTAAAACATAGGTCGGAAGAAAGAACCTTTCAGAAGTTTACAAATGTTCTTCGGTTTAACGGTAACGCAACGTTATACTCCAAGGTCTTTCTCGAATCTAGAGCTTCTTCTGCAGCTGGAATATCCCCATTGGCAAGACCATACATGAAATATATCTCATCTGCCATTTCCAAATTAGAATAATAAGCCGACGTAATTAAGAGGCTTCTTGTTATCGCGTCTCTTGAATATTGTACGATCACAAATGAAGCAAGAAGATAACGTAAGTAATTTAATTATTGTGTAGAAATGAGACTGATTCAAAAGAGACCAGAAATCTTTGAACAAAATCACGTAAACGCCTTTAATAAATATCAAAGTAATGGTGGGATATGTGTTCGTTTATTCATCGCATGCGATCACGCACACACAAGGGAAGCACAGAAATAATTTGTACTACCAAAACTGGAAAACATCTGTAACTGTGAAAGGTTTAATTTTTCGATCTATATTTACTAAACATTTTTTATTCAGTATAATGAGTATTGCATACCCTGTAAGTTTTGAAATCTTTTTTTTACCCTGTATATATCTCACAGGGACTTTTCTCTGTAATTTTTGTGGGAACGTAGAACGGATTGAAATGAACATAAAAGAACATAAATTTTTAGATACTAATTAAAGAAGATTTGTGTATTGTGCACAATCAATTTTCTTTCGTTAATAAAAAAAAAATCTATGTGAATTTTGCAAAATGATAAAGGGCTTTTATATTTAATTTGACCTGTAATCTAATATATATAACAGCACACATCGCCATTACAGCTCATCTATCATATTGCGTATAATCACATTCGCCAATCTTTTTAAATTAATATCTCGATTATTGCGAAATGGTATAGGATTTTTCTATTCACTCCAATTCGTTCTGTGTTCCCACAAAAATTGCGGAAGAGAATCTAGAACATCTTATTCATATTTCTTGATCTACAATTTCAAACAATACAAGAATAGTTAATTGTTTAAAAAAATTAATATCGCTTCATAAGCGCTTCGCGAAGCAATTGAGAGGAAAGCACGATGGAATTAGGTTTTTATTACCGTTCTGTGAGCCCGAGACCGTCCCGATTTCTTTATTATAATTTCAGCGGAATTATTGAGTTCATAAACATTCATAAGGCGCATTGAAATACCCGGAGGGCGAGCCACTCTGTACTAAATATGCGGACGATGTCTACAATTTTCCGACGCGGTGCTACGCAAAAGAAGAACCTAAGCAGTCTGGACGCTTCAGCGACGAGCGGGTAATTCCATCAGGGTTTCATAAGCGCATTGCCAGGTTATGACGTTGGATGATAAACAGGTAGGACCGGCGAGAGAACGTCGAGACTCGCGCAAAA